TATAGCCCAACATCTGAACTTTAGCTTAGCGGTGGTGACGTGAAGTCATGTGACCGTGCTGTAGTTCCTCTATAGCCCAGCATTAGCCTCCTTTAGCTTAGCGGTGGTGACGTGACGTCATGTGACCGTGCTGTAGTTCCTTTATAGCCTAACATTAGCCTCCTTTAGCTTAGCGGTGGTGACGTGAAGTCATGTGACCGTGCTGTAGTTCCTTTATAGCCCAACATTAGCCTCCTTTAGCTTAGCGGTGGTGACGTGAAGTCATGTGACCGTGCTGTAGTTCCTCTATAGCCCAACATTAGCCTCCTTTAGCTTAGCGGTGGTGACGTGAAGTCATGTGACCGTGCTGTAGTTCCTTTATAGCCCAACATTAGCCTCCTTTAGCTTAGCGGTGGTGACGTGAAGTCATGTGACCGTGCTGTAGTTCCTTTATAGCCCAACATTAGCCTCCTTTAGCTTAGCGGTGGTGACGTGAAGTCATGTGACCGTGCTGTAGTTCCTCTATAGCCCAACATTAGCCTCCTTTAGCTTAGCGGTGGTGACGTGAAGTCATGTGACCGTGCTGTAGTTCCTTTATAGCCCAACATTAGCCTCCTTTAGCTTAGCGGTGGTGACGTGAAGTCATGTGACCGTGTTGTAGTTCCTCTATAGCCCAACATTAGCCGCCTTTAGCTTAGCGGTGGTGACGTGAAGTCATGTGACCGTGCTGTAGTTCCTTTATAGCCCAACATTAGCCACCTTTAGTCTTAGCGGTGGTGTACGTGGAGTCATGTGACCGTGCTGTAGTTCCTTTATAGCCCAACATTAGCCTACTTTAGCTTAGCGGTAGCGACGTGAAGTCATGTGACCGTGCTGTAGTTCCTTTATAGCCCAACATTAGCCTCCTTTAGCTTAGCGGTGGTGACGTGAAGTCATGTGACCGTGCTGTAGTTCCTTTATAGCCCAACATTAGCCTCCTTTAGCTTAGCGGTGGTGACGTGAAGTCATGTGACCGTGCTGTAGTTCCTTTATAGCCNTATAGCCAGCAGATGACGAACACCCACCTCTCCGCCTCTTCCAAGGAACGAGGGGACCGTGCGGCAGAGTTTCAGTTAGATTTTTTTCCGCCTGCCAACATGTCCGTTAAAGTTTAAATCTTCCAGACAAAATTAGAAAAGTGCCGGTCAAAGGTCTTCTTTGTTATTTATTGAGCTTTTAAACAAATGAATAACGACTATATAATAATATAAGAATAAAACACGGAGGAGGGAGATCTCTTTTCCTCCCCCTCTTCTGACAGCCCAGCAGCTGATCTCAGAGCACGCTCCCCTCTCCTGCAGGGGGGCGTGGTCAGCTGCAGGGGGGCGTGGTCAGCTGCAGCTCACAGAATCAGCCCCCTGCAAAAACATGGCTGTAAAAGCAAATAGAGCGAAATGAGGCATGGCTCAAATGCAGGATCTGTTTGGTATTTTGAAAACAAGACTATATTATTTATATACTTTATATAGGTATGGCCCTACAATATATTGTTCAAATAAAGCATGATAGGTCCCCTTTAAGTTGCTCTGATGTCGTACAGAAATGTGTCAAAACTAGCAGTTTAGCCCTTTTCAGTGAATACCACATATTTGTTTCCATTTGAACTATTTAAATGCTTGCTTTTATAATGATATGTAATGATTTCTTTGTGTGTACTTGTGTAAAAAATGTGTCAGATATTTAAATGGTTATCAACAACTTCAATTTGGATTTGTTTTTTTTGCAGAACACTGACACTGATTTCACCTTGACTTGATTCTGATTTCTTCTCGATTTCTAACCCTGACTGCTCTCTGATCCGACCCTCTCTTCCCCCCTGTGTGTCTGCAGGTCTGGAGAGAACAGGACGACGATGCACAAATGTTACACCTTCCTGATCTTCATGGTTCTGCTGCTGCCGTCTCTGGGACTCAGCAGGTATTAAATAATAATACAAATAATATATAATAATATCAGCTGTCCTCTGCTGTCCTCACTGAATCCTCTCTGTTTTCCAGCCTGGACGTTTTCTTCCGCTGGCTCTTTGATAAGAAGTTCCTGGATGATGCCAAAGTCAGATTTGAGTGAGTTGGGTTTTATTTGACCTGCGGTTACAAACGTCCTGATTTATACTCTTTAAAATAGTTCAGTGTGTTGTTAAAGGAAGAACAGAGCTTCCACGCCTAAAGGGGGAGAATATGAATTAAGTTCTTACATTTTAGGAATAAAGTAAAAATGTGTATTTTCCTTATACCTGTGACTATACATCTCTGTAGCTCTCTTCATGTATTTCATTCAGAAATGTGCATGAAGTGTTATGGTAGGAGTTCCTGCTCTAACGGAGGCGCTGTGCTCCCTTCAGGTGCGTCTTTCTGCCGGATAACGGAGCGTTCTTCGTCAACTACGTCATCGCCTCTGCGTTCATCGGTAACGCCATGGACCTGCTGAGGATCCCCGGCTTACTCATGTACATGATCCGCCTCTGCCTCGCCCGCTCCGCCGCCGACCGCCGCAACGTCAAGAGGGTGAGTAGTTCCTTTATAGCCCAACATCTAAACTTTAGCTTAGCGGTGGTGACGTGAAGTCATGTGACCGTGCTGTAGTTCCTCTATAGCCCGACATTAGCCTCCTTTAGCTTAGCGGTGGTGACGTGAAGTCATGTGACCGTGCTGTAGTTCCTTTATAGCCCAACATTAGCCTCCTTTAGCTTAGCGGTGGTGACGTGAAGTCATGTGACCGTGCTGTAGTTCCTTTATAGCCCAACATTAGCCTCCTTTAGCTTAGCGGTGGTGACGTGAAGTCATGTGACCGTGCTGTAGTTCCTTTATAGCCCAACATTAGCCTCCTTTAGCTTAGCGGTGGTGAGGTGANAGGAACTACAGCACGGTCACATGACTTCACGTCACCACCGCGAGGCTAATGCTGGGCTATAGAGGAACTACAGCACGGTCACATGACTTCACGTCACCACCGCTAAGCTAAAGGAGGCTAATGTTGGGCTA